AGACCTGTGTGCTTTGGTTTGTTGGAGTGTTTCTGTTATTGTCCTGTCCCTATTATTTTTCTGTTTCAATTGCTTCATAAATGACAAGTTTAATCCTGTGGAGTCAAATTTAGCTTCAAATTCTCTTTGCTTTGAGATGTACATGGATTTGAGAGACCCCAAGATTATAAGACCTATTTTCTTTTAGAAGTGTGAAAAAAATCAGCCCATCTAGGCCAAGCATGGCACCGGGCATGCTCAATTATATTAATGCCATTTGATAGGTCGGGAAACTGAGGTTCAGAGGGATTGGATGATGTTCCTATGTGCACACATTTAATGAGACTGGTAGGACCAGGATTTAAGTGAAGTCTTATGACTCTACATTCAGTGTTCTCTGGACAACTCCAAAATGAAGCTCCTCCTTACCTGTATTAGTTGTTCTTTAGACATACTTCCTTGGTGAAGATGGTTGTCTGTGATCACGTTTTCTTCCCCACAAGTTATGTGAATCATTTGGGGTATCTGGTTATGACAATGAGTGGTGTTGAAAGTAGTAACAGTGGGTTATTTTACAGCAAGAGTTGGAAGGCTGGATCTTGATGTTCGTGTTTGATGTTGGGGCTGAGAACTCACTCCCTGAATCTTGGGTGCTTATTTTCTGTGTTAGGGTGAAGCAGAGGACTTAGTTCATGGCCTCTGTCTTTGGAGTGCTTACCGTTTAGTTAAGAGGGAGAACATTTACACCTACTAAAGAGCATTTGCCTACACCTACTAAGATGAAGTAGCAACTGGCTGAGATGTACAGAAAGGAAGACCATGTGTTCATACACACGTTCCAGACTTGGGACTCAAACTAAACCTTGATTTAATGAATGAGCAGGGCTTCAGGGGAGGGAGCATTCACTGTGACTTGTGAGGTCAGGTCAGGTATGCTGGTAGATGTGGGTCTTAGGCCTTTTAAGATGGTGCACCCTGGGCTTTGGATGGTTTTATATACCAAGTTTTGGAGGTTGGGTTTGGCCTGTGGGTGGTAATAAGGAGCCACTTTGTGTTTGTGAGCAGAGGAGTGGCTTAACAATGGCAATGCTTGTTCTGTTTTTTGTGTGGTGGTTAAGTTGGCACTGGAGAGAAACCCTATAATCTTTGTATCGGGGCACAGCAAAAGCAGGAGGTTGTCAAGTTGAAGCTGATTTACATTGCTGTAGGAATTGATGAATTGATAGCTATGTTCTGCGGCGCACCCCCCCCACCCCCGCCACTCATGTTCTGAGAAGCTATGGCTTGCTGGCTGCAGGTTGGGTATTGGGGTGTTTTAGGTTTTTGCTATCTGTACCTCATATAGCTTCATAGACTTCACTTTTGATGTACAGATAGAGTATGGATTTTTATCCTAGATTTTATTAGGTAAAAATCAATAGAACTGCTGTCAATTTCACATGGCTCCCTTTCATTGATTTTCTAAGTGAAGTTACTGTTAGAGACAATAGATTCTGGTTGCCTCTGGTTAGGGAGATTGGCATAGGTACTAGAACAATGCTACTGTAGTTATGTGGAAAGTCCTAGGTGTGCAGTTGTCCTGGGGATGAGGGCCTGAGGGTTGTGCTGTTCTTCCTCTCCTGATGTTGCTTTCCTGCTTATGGACCAGGCATTTAGAGTCTCCTCATTGCTTTTCTCTGACTTATAAAGAGGAAAACTGCTCTGGAATAAGAATTTTAAGGGAGGAAGGAGAGCATGTGGAAGAGGGGATAAAAATTGGTCCACCACAATGCTGCCTTTCCCTGGTACTCCTTAGTAGTTTGAAGCAGATAGAATCATCCTATAGGCCCCAGTAATGCTGGAGAGGTGGGAGACTGAGCTCTCACTTTTGCCTCATACCATGAAACTTTTGAGAGAGTTCATGGATGCCTAGGCAGTGGACTGGGCATGTTTGATACTGTTGTGATGGAGGCCAGCTGTTCTGTCTTTACATTCTTTTTGACTGTGCCCCAGAATGGGGACTGCATTTGTGGACCCGGTTCTTGGTTCAGAGATGGGGTATTCCTAGGTTGCACTCTTAACCACCAGTGATCAGGGAAAGTTTAGAGGTAGAATCTGCTGAAACTAGTGAAGCAATAGATTCTCAGATCACATCTCCTGTTCTTTCTACACCAGGTCTGGGTCCTACAGGGCCAGATCACCCATCACCACACCGAGTCTTCAGTTCTAGTATGTGAGATCTTGAGGCCATGGTCCCATCATGGCTTGCATCTTTGTCATCTTAAGTTGCCACACTGTTGCTTTCACTGGTGTATAAGGCCCATCAGTGTCTGCTGGTTCTGTGGGAACCATTTTATATTTCCCTACTCTTCCATCTAAGACCTTTCTCTGGGGCCTTCCTGATCCTCTGTTTATGCTAAATGCCCCATTGTTCCTGATGTGGCTTCCCTCCTGAGCATCCCTCTCCTCTTTCTTCCTTGGAATAGGGGGTCTGTTTTCCAGGGCTGCTTCAGAGTTATTATTTCTCTCTCTTCCTTTAATACCCTTTCCTAGTTGAGGCTGATATCATCCAGTGATCCAATATACACCCTTGCTTCGATACTGTTATATAGTGTCTGGTCATTTCTCTGTGTTATCAGAGTCTTCCTCTCCACCTTGAGTTTTGCCTTCATTTGTGAAACCTCAGTGGCCATGTGGATAACCTATCTAGGTCCATGCCAGGTTCCCTGGCCCCTCTGCTAGGTGGCCTCCACCCCATCTAGTGTTAAAGACCCAACTCAATTCCTGTCCTTGGAGCACTCTTGGTTGCCCATGCTCCTACTTCCATTTGATCTGCCTTGAAGATGCCTCTAAGTTTTCTGGGTGGGTCTGCCTATCCTCAGCCAATGGTTGATCCCTTGGGTCTCCCTATCTTTCTCCACCTCTGCCTGGAAAAACCCCTGAGATTATCAGCCAAGATACCTTTCTCTGTTCCTATACTGTTTCTTCTCAGAGAAAATAATCAGGACCTTATTTCCTTAGTTTGACAAATCTGTGTTCAGGGTCCTACTCCATGTAAAGCAGCTTAAGGAAAATGAATGAGAACACTAGCCCTTTGCACACACATTTGATAGTCACCTTCTCTGGTGCCCTTCCTTAGTTCCCCAATGTAGGAAATGCAAACTAGTATTACTGCTTCAGATCTCTCTCCCTATACCAACTATCTCAGAACAAAATGAAGAAGAGCAATTTAAGAGACTGTGAGAAGCAAATGGATAACAGTTGTCCATAGATAAATCCCTTCACTGTTAATGTGATTGTTAAGCTCATAAGTCTGTGGCATGTGGGAAGATCAGTATCAGCTATTACCTTGTCAGCTGATCTGACACCTGTGTCTAGATGGATTCCTCTAAGAACAGATTGTCTGTTATAATTAAAAAACAGAAAACATTCTGTGTGGATATGCTGGGCCAAAATGCCTGTCCTGGTGCAGCTGGAGTTTCTGTTACAGTTGATTCAAATACACTCATAAATAACTACTTTTAACTTCTTTTTAAAGGCATAAGTGGCTAATTCCTACAGGCAGTGAAGGATACATCGATCCCATGGATGATGTTAATAATTTTCAGCCCACTCTCATGGCCAAATTGTTACACAGTCTGTGATTTTCCAGTTTCCTTTCCCAACCTGGATAGAAGCTGGGGAAATTGACCACTCTTGCCTCAACTACTTCATTGTAGCAGGGTGTAGCTGATCAGGAAATACAAAGTCTTCTTTTATTCATGCAAGTTCTCATTATTTAAGCCCCGAACGTTAATGTGACTATGGTTGTTTTCCTTTTTTTTTTTTGAATATTGAACATGTTCCTTGCACTGAGTTACACCCAGCCCCTTTCCTTATTTTAAAAAGGAGAGAAAATAACATCTGGAGAGGGAAATTTCTATACCTAGATTGAAACCTCTTTCAACTTTATTATACCAACTTCTAATGCAAGAGGATCTCAACTAGAGCTTTCAGAAATACCACTGTGCCACATTGCTCTGTCACTCTTCTGATACCAGGTGAAGCTGTGCACAACAGATTTCTACTTTGTCAGTAGGTTACATCACTAATGGAATGAAATTATAATACAAAATTGACATTAAGATTATAAAGACATATGATCCTATGGGGTAACATTAATAATTTTCAGCCTACTCTCATGGCTCAGTTGGTAACTGGCAACTGATAACTATATTGATAAGTAGCAATTACTGTATCCTTATTGTGTGCCAAGCATCCTGTTAAGTGAACAATAATTATTTTTTCATTTACTCCTCCCAAAAACCTTGGGAGGAAGGTGTCAACATTCCTACCTGATAGATGAAAAATCTGAGGCATAAATAATTTGCCCAAGTTCATGGCAATAGTCAGTGGCCACTGCAGGACTGAAATCCAGGCCTATCTTAAACCCTGCTATCATAACCTTTTCCTATGTTGCCTTCCTTGATGGTGTTGAAAGTCTGGTTGGGAACATTGTTCTTGGCAAAGAGGTTGGTAAGAGCTCAGACACTTAGAGTTCTGGAACGTCCTGGGCAGCAAACCTTGGACCTTTTATCTTAGTCCTTGAAGCACAGCTTCCTTTGGGGAAGCTAGAGCTGCGTTCTCAGAGCCAGGCTTTGACTCCAGAGGGTTCTCAAAGTGTGGCCTATCTAAGGGATCCTTGCAAGTCCCTGAGAAGCCACCTCAATCCAGAGCTGACTGCTCCGTACTCTGGTCTGTCATAAAGACTAGGAATTAGCTCTAATGTATAAAGGCCCCAACATTTCAAGCAGGCCCTCATAGCCTACATATAAAGCTCAAATAGTAGAATAAGAACAGTAATCTTTAAAGAAGTTTTTTTTCTTTTTTTTTCTTCAGTGTTGGGGATCAAAACCAGGACCTCCAATGTATGAGCCAGGCATTTTCCAAATGTGTTATACCTCTAGCCCCATCTTTGTTAAACTGTGATGAAGCCCAAAGGGCTCTTTGAGTCCATCTTGACTAATATTCTGTTGCCTTTTTCCTGTTGCAGGAAATCGAGGCTTGTGTGACCATTCTCTAAAATATTTAAGCTCAAAAATCACAGAGCGAAAGCTACAGGGCACTTGGCTGCCTGTTGGCCGGGGGAATCTGGAGAAACCATTCTTGGGGCCGCGCAGCTCTGTTGTGCCCATGTTCAGCCCTCAGGGTGGCCTTCACTCGGCCCATGCTGAGAACAGCCAGCTGAAGCCCAGGGTGGTAACGGTGGTGAAGCTGGGTGGGCAGCCCCTTCGGAAGGTCACTCTGCTCCTCAACAGGCGGTCAGTACAGACATTCGAGCAGCTCCTGGCAGACATCTCAGAAGCCCTGGGCTTTCCAAGATGGAAGAATGATCGTGTGAGGAAATTGTTCAACCTCAAGGGCAAAGAAATCAAGAGTGTTTCTGATTTCTTTCGGGAAGGGGATGCTTTTGTAGCCATGGGCAAAGAACCATTGACGTTGAAGAGCATTCAGGTGGCTATAGAGGAACTGTATCCCAACAAAAACCGGGCCTTGACCTTGACCCAGCACAGCCAAGTGCCTTCTCCAAGGCTGAGAAACAGATTTCACAGCAAGCTTCTGAAAGGAGGCCAACATGGTGGGGAGACAGCGAGTGGCAGTGAGGCTGTGGGAAGCAAGGTGGCCACAAGGCTCCAGGGGAAGACCCCTGTGGAGCTGGCACTGGAGGACAAGATGAGGGCACAGAAGAGGTGGGGAAGGGGAAAGCGGGAGCCAGAAGCCAGTGGCAAGCCACCCAGGGAAACCACTCTGGAGGAGAGGCATGCAAATGGAGAGAAGCACCTGGGGGTGGAAATTGAAAAGACCTCAGGGGAGATCATCAGATGTGAGAAGTGTAAGCGGGAGAGGGAGCTCCAGCAGAGCCTGCAAAAGGAGAGGCACTCCCTAGGGACTGGTGAGTTGGACATAGGGAAGGGCCACAGGTATCATGTGGAGAAGCTGGTGAGAACGAGAAGCTGCAGGAGGTCTCCTGAGGCAAACCCTGCTGGTGGGGAGGAAGGATGGAAGGGCGACAGCCATGGGTGCAGCCCCAGGAATCCCACACAAGAGATGAGGAGACCCAGCAAGAGCACGGACAAGAAAGAGGATAGAGACCCAGAGGATCAGGAGAGCCATCCTCAGGGATTGGCCAAGGCTAAGAAGCACTGTGTGGAAGTTCTACCAGTCACAGAGGAGGGGCCGAGGGACATGAAGAAAGACACTGGGCAAGCTTGCAGGAACAAGCATGGTGTCTGGCTCCAGCGAGAGCACCAGGCTGAGCCCGAGCAGCTCCCCAGGACCCGAGGGGAGGAGAAGGAGGCAGAGAAGGAGAAGAAACTAGGTGTGTCAGGAGGGAAAAAGATGGTTCTTAGAGATGACCCATCTGCCAGGATAGAGAAGGAACCCAAGACAAGGGCAGAAGAGAACAAGCCAGAATGGCCCGGTGGTCGGAAGCTGCGGCCTGTGGGCATCATTGCAGCCAATGTGGAGAAGCATTACGAGACTGGCCGGGTCATTGGTGATGGGAATTTTGCCATTGTGAAGGAGTGTAGGCACCGCGAGACCAGACAGGCCTATGCCATGAAGATTATCGACAAGTCCAAACTCAAGGGTAAGGAGGAAATAGTTGACAGTGAGATCTTAATCATCCAGAGCCTCTCTCACCCCAACATAGTGAAACTGCATGAAGTATATGAAACACAAGCAGAAATCTACCTGATCATGGAGTACGTGCAGGGGGGAGACCTTTTTGATGCCATCATAGAAAGTGTGAAGTTCCCAGAGCCCGATGCTGCCCTCATGATCATGGACTTATGTAAGGCTCTCGTCCACATGCACGACAAGAGCATCGTCCATCGGGACCTCAAGCCAGAAAATCTCTTGGTAAGCTCTGATTTTTGCTGCTGTGAAAGTGTTTTTAAAAGGTAGGATAAAATAAATTTTAATTGTGTCATGCTCTGTTACCCTTACAGGCTAGAACATTACCTTTATGTTATTTTAATATACTTATTCTAGTATTTAAAACTTTGGTTATAGTTCATAAGCTGTTGAGATAAATTGGTTTTGATTAGGTTATTGAAAAATAAAACTTCTAATTTAAAGAAAGTGGAAAATATTTCCTCCTTCCTGGGATGAATACTTTTGCTTTGATTATGATCATGTGGACTTAATTTCTTGAACATTTGCACACCTTCAGGCTTTGCATTTACCATCCGCTTTCCCACTGAGACCCTCTCTGAGACTCTCTTAAAGATCATGTTTTGCCAGGGAATTCAAAGGGTGCAGTGAGGCAGGGTTCTGTGTAGAGAGTGCAGGAGAGGCTGATGCCAAAGTCACACACCCTGGACTTGATTCCTGGCTGTCTTAGTTACTTGCTCCAAGATAAGTCCTTCTTGTCTCTGGGCCTTAGTTTCCTCATTTTTAAGAGAAAAATAGTGACCTATCTTGGAAGGTTGAGTGTGGGTAAAGCATGGGAAAGAGAAGCAGCTCCTGACAATATGGAGCCAGCCTGGTATTCACAGTCCCCTGCTCCCCTGTGGCATTCTCCTGTTGGATATAAAAATGTCACATGATACCAGGGTCCTACAGGGCTACTTGTGACCATGATGGATCCGGACAAAAACAAAACCCCTTTGTAATAATGTCAAAATGCAGAATAACAGGAATATTGTTGACATCACAAACATATCTCCCTATCTGCTACTATCAATGATTGCCTTGCTCCATTCCCCTATCTTCATATGGAATTAAGACATCCAATCATAGAACTGCTCCTGCTTCCTGACACCATCCAGTCAGAGCAACCTCCTGCTTTCTTGAACTTTTCTCACAATCACCTAACACAGCCCCAATTTTTTTTTTCAGTGCTGGGGATCAAACCCAGGGTCATCTGTGTGCTAGGCAAATGCTCTACTCCTGAGCTATATCCCCAGCCCATATCTGATAGGTCCTTTGAACACTGTCTTACTTAGACACCAGATCCCAGTGGTGTGCATTCTTCCTGGTTGCAATGAGTTGATAAACCCGATGTGTTTGACTAACAGTAGACTCCTGGTGGTCTTTGTCAGGACAGCATTTCTCACACTGTCACCATCTGGTATCTTTGAACCAATTTCTTTTTCACAGCCCCTGTCACCACCCAATATACTCTACATTTCCTTTCCTGTCTTCTCACTGGGAAAGAGCTCCATGACAATGGGAACTATTTTATTCAGACTATACCCTGACATCTTAAACAGTTTTGTAACATGGTGGATATTTCATGCACATTAGTTGGATGAGCACAAAGAGACCATAGTAGGCTGTATGAGAAACAGCAAGCCTTCCATTGGTGGCAACATTCAAAGGCAGATTGCTACAGATAAAGCAACAGTGAATGGAGACAATGATTCAATGAGTCATATTTTTCCGAGGGGGGAGATTTAACTTATTCCCTTTAATTTGTATGGTCATAGACCCAGCCTGCTAACATCTTCCCAATGCAGTCACCTGTCTGTAAACTGCTCCCACAAGCAGAGGGAAACATGGAGTGAGTCAAGCTAATTATCTGGCAAAATGAGGTCTGTGTTGACTACTGACTCAAGTGACCTTATTTTTACCCAACTTTGTAGGATTGTAGAAATAATTTGGCTGGCTGCCTGAGTGGTGGTCTGAATTATCCTCAAACAATTCTGCCTTTGAAAAATTTAATTTTTGCATTGGCCAACATCCTTGGCCTTTCCCCATTTTGTTGTGGGAAATTCGAACAGAGACATGAGACACTGAGTCAAGAAACAAAGGGGTCTCACCTGATATACCCTTGCAAGCAGGTTACAGAGGCAATTAAAAACAAACAAGGTTTAACCCACATATGGTTACATGCAATTCTATAGGCTACTTCACCCTAGTGCTAGTGCCTTTTTACTCCTAGTGCTATGTGACCCTCTTCACATTTGGATTCTTTAGGTTTTATCTCTCTGCTATGCCATCCCTTCCCCCACTGCTACTTTATCAGAACACAGGCCTGTCTGTTTCTCTTCTGGTCCTCCTCCCTGCTACATTAGTCCCCTCTTTGATGCTCAGACCTACCTAGGATCAAAGAGCATCATCTTGATTTAGGGGTTTATATTTCCATAGCATCATTACGTGGGAGGCTGTTTTTCTTTCAACTATGGCCTCAATGAGGCTGGAGACAGACCTTACAATCAGGGAAGCCAAGCAGGGCAAAACCAGGCAAGCCCCTAAAATCAAAAGTATAACACGTATGAGGGTTTTGAATGCCCCCAAAATTGAAAACCATCCTCAAATAATTCTCTGGGGTTCCAACCTTTCCATGTCTGGACTGGGACATGGGCAATTTTTCTCATTTCATCTGTGATTTTTTTTCTGTGACCTTTCCTTCATCAACTATCTGTAAGTAGCAGTTGCTCAGGTTAAATTTTCCATAATCTCCTCCCTCAGAAGCCAGAAAAAAGTCTAAGGCCAGGTGGTTTTGATAGATGGCATTATACATTTTAGTACTTTGCTTAGCCAATAAATTGAGGGCTCTTGCAATCTCATTAGTGATAATTTCAACAACAGCCTATAACGTGATGATACAGTTCAACATGTAGATGGGAGTATGGTGCCCTAAAGACCCATCTTGTGCCACATGGCTGGGTCATAATAATGGATTATACACCCAGGGCCATTCATCATCCTTCACAAAAGTGTGCCAATTTGTAAGGCATACTGTTTTCTTTGGGATTCCCAGCTTTCGTATATTGGAACTCCTAAGAGTTACCTCCTAGCAAGTGGGAGCAGGAAGAAGGATGGACAGATTGACCCCAACACACAAGATGCTGACCAGTTTGGGTGAAGTACAGTGTAGGCAGTTTTCCCACCTGGGGCTTGTCATTCAATTCTGCATTAACATCATTCCAGGCCTGTTGGAGATGAGAGAGATTAGACAAGGGATGGGGGTTTGGTTCAGTATGGTTTGGGGATCCTCACCATTGGGTTTTCTGGGTGGTTACATTATAGAATCTTTGGCCCAGGCATATCAGGTTTCCAACAAAAGTGTTAAATTGTCCTCCCCATCAGACAAGACAGTTTCTCCTAATAATTGAGGTTTTGGGAAGCCAAACCCCAGTGGCCAGCTGGAGGTATCTTGGCTCATTATAGTGCTCATGGGGATCCAACTCTCTAGCCTCCCAGAGCCATTGATCCCCCATATTCGTTCCCCCCACATGCATAGCAGGAAGTGATTTTTAAAAGCTTGAGCTATAGTTTCTGCTAGTTCTAGAAGCAGATTTCTGGTAGTAGTGGAGATGGGAGAGACAGTTCTTTCCATTTCTTCATAGAAGAGTGAAAAAACTGGTGGGACTTTATGGTGAGGCTTTATGGGAGACTGTAATTCTTTTATAGTTCAATATAGTCCCTGGGTCTTTGTCCCACCTGTAGTATATATGACAGTCTGCCAGTCATTTTTCCACTTAGGATCTTCTAGATCAAGGATGGTAAAATTAACAGGATACAGGCCCCTAAGTGACACCCTGAGGTAGTGACACCCTTTTTTTTTTCTTTTATTATTCATATGTGCATACAAGGCTTGGGTCATTTCTCCCCCCTGCCCCAACCCCCTCCCTTACCACCCACTCCACCCCCTCCCTCTCCCCCCCACCCCCTCAATACCCAGCAGAAACTATTTTGCCCTTATTTCTAATTTTGTTGTAGAGAGAGTATAAGCAATAATAGGAAGGAACAAGGGGTTTTGCTGGTTGAGATAAGGATAGCTATACAGGGAGTTGACTCACATTGATTTCCTGTGCGTGGGTGTTACCTTCTAGGTTTATTCTTTTTGATCTAACCTTTTCTCTAGTTCCTGGTCCCCTTTTCCTATTGGCCTCAGTTGCTTTTAAGGTATCTGCTTTAGTTTCTCTGCGTTAAGGGCAACAAATGCTAGCTAATTTTTTAGGTGTTTTACCTATCCTCACCCCTCCCTTGTGTGTTCTTGCTTTTATCATGTGCTCAAAGTCCAATCCCCTTGTTGTGTTTGCCCTTGATCTAATGTCCACATATGAGGGAGAACATACGATTTTTGGTCTTTTGGGCCAGGCTAACCTCACTCAGAATGATGTTCTCCAATTCCATCCATTTACCAGTGAATGATAACATTTCGTTCTTCTTCATGGCTGCATAAAATTGCATTGTGTATAGATACCACATTTTCTTAATCCATTTGTCAGTGGTGGGGCATCTTGGCTCTTTCCATAACTTGGCTATTGTGAATAGTGCCACAATAAACATGGGAGTGACACCCTTTTGAAGGAGCAGTGTTTTATCTTTACATTGCCAGGTGGCCCAGGAGACACATTTCCAGCTGGGGTAGGGCAGGGCACATTCATAAGTGTTGGTTATCTCAGACATATACTTATCACTGAACCTGAACTCCTGTTCCCAAGATAGGCCTCCACATGAACTGCAAAAGCTGGTTTCCGTTAGTGCTCTCTTACTTACTGCATACAGGTGAGGGGACTTGTCATGTTCTAGGACCCCACACACATCAAACTGTATTGACATTGGCTGTTTTGGATTGGTGATCTGGACCCTTTGAATTATGCAGTCTTTCTTGTCATGGCACCTGACTTCTAGCCATTCATTGTTTGGGTAATGGCTAGTATATTGGCCCTCTTGCAGGCAAATAGAATAGGTGGTTTTGTTATGCCTGCAGATCCCTGAGACTGTTCCTTGGCAGGAGAAATGAGTGTGGTAAAGCAGGGTCCAAGTAACCCCCTGACCCGATTGAGATATGTGAATACATGGGTCATAGGATGAGGGCTCTGGGACCACAAAGGAAAACCACATCAGTAACAATAAACAGTAATTATGCCATCCTGCCCAAAAGAGGTAGAAGAGAGTTAATA